TATCCAGTGCGCCACCGGGCCGGCCCAAAAGCTTATTTTTTTAAAGATAATTTTTGATGAACTACTTTGGAGAAATACACCCATTATCTTATCAAGAAGGTCATGAAACTTCATGAAGTGTATAATACTCAGATATCTACTCAAATTTATTTTTCTATTATAAAAACTTCTGGTTCTCATTCTTTTTAAAAAATGCTACATTCAAAGAATATTTCAGAAAAAACAATAATTAACATTATGAAATACATAATTATAAAACATATTCAAATTTTATATCTCGGCTAAAAAATTCAACAAACCTCTAAGCTGAATATAAAACAAGAAAACAAAGGTTATGAAGCTAACAGTCATAATAGAAATGGTTTTACATCATGAGCAAAATAACGACAATTTTCAGTGAGAGTGTTCATTACAAGTTAAACAGTGAAACTATTCAACAAGCACTTGGAAAAAAACAACACTTTAAATCTGGAAATGGTAAATTACATTTACTAAAATTAATGCTTTACAATCATTTAGGGTCCTCTAAGGCAAGCATTATTGGCTTGACTTCACATCAATTGAAACCTTCCTTAAAAGAGATAAAGGAGATAAAATATATTTTTCTATTCATTTTGTAGACTTCTTAAAATGAGAAAAGTCCCAAGGTATCCATCATTTCCAAAGAAGCAAAGTAAGGGATGGCTTCTAATTGGGGTACTATTAACAATGGCATAAAATGTTTTAAGCTCCTATTTTTATGGGAATGAACTATATGGCATTATAGGTAAGAGCCAGTTATTTGCCAATTGAATAACAATCTACAAGCCCGGGAATGTTATTACTTATAATAAGATCAGTACCTAAGGAGATTTAAAAACGTACTACTATACGTTGGACAGAGTACCTTCTCTATTGAGGGCTTACAGATGCTAAACTACTGACCCATCTAGAGAGAGAAACCAAAAAACAAAACAAACAAAATGATTTGGGAACACTAACATATTAATAGATGTAATATAACACATTTTAAATTTAATATATATTGTTATGGCAAGATCTAAATGAATAGTTCAAATGAGGGTCAGGTTATTTTAGAAAGAAGACTAAGTGGTGATACAATTTTATTCCACGGAAGGACATTTAAACTTCCATTTTTTTTTTTNGACTAAGTGGTGATACAATTTTATTCCACGGAAGGACATTTAAACTTCCATTTTTTTTTTTCTTTTTGTCTTTTTTACTGACCAGTACAGGATCGCAACCCTCGGTGTCGCGCCTGTACCGGGGACCGGCAACAGGATCACAACCCACGGTGTTGCGCCCGCACCGCGCTCAACCAGTGAGT